TATGTTTTATCTCAAATTATTTGTAAACAACATTCTGTCTCAGAGCTTGGTATGGAGTGAAAGAGCTGAATGTAAGCCAGACCAGGAAGATGTGAGATGAGTTTATAGGAAACAGACCCTGTTCACTCAGACTTCCTTAAACAAAGTTTGCCGACTGGGGTCACAGACCAACAAAGATAAAATAATGATAACAAAATAAATATTTCTGCTTGATGTCAGTTGCTTACATACGCCTGCTATGTAAAAAATGTAATGACACAGTCTTTCATCTCTGTGTAAATTCGTAAGCTAACGCTTTGCCTTATTTTTTCACAGAAAAGTTCTGCATCTCATGTAAAGCATTAGCAAAAACTGAATTCCACTGGCAGGATGGTAGGGGCTGTACTGCCTGGGCTGCCGTCTCCGAAACTCTTCTGCCACTTATTCTTAGTAAATTCTCCCATTTTCTTTGCGACTTTCTCCCAGGGCTTTTCTATTTATTGCAATGTGGAGGTCTTGCATGGTGCAATGAATTGTCAGTATGATGGCTCTGGTGGGGGCAGCAGGAAAGTCACACCTGGGTCAGTGGCTGTCCTCACCCTGGCCAGCTGGGGATGCAACTGAGGTGTCCTCCTGCATGGCAGTGTCTTATTTATGCCTGCTTTTGCCGTAGCCCTTCCATCCTAAAGGTGTGGGGTTCACTGCCCCATCTCGTGTGGTGGCTGCTGCTGCTGGATGGCTCTGCGTTTCTCACTTTACCCCTTTCTTCAACTCTGAGAAAACCAGACTGGACTCCGCTCCTACGTCCTAGAAGGCTGAGGGGGGAGGAGATGGAGGAGCAGAGAGCCCTGCTTGTGTGCCTCTGCCTCCTCGCTCCTGTAACTGGCAGGTTTTCTTGTCCCATCCTGTGCCCCAAAAAGGGACCTGGGTCTCTGACAGGCCTGGGTAGTCACAGATACAGACGTTCAAGTAAGTCTCCTTCCTCCCCTTTCCGTTCTCACTCTAGCTCCAACTCCTGCTCCAGCTTGCGCAGCTTTTGTGGGATGTAGTTGTAGGTATCAGGGCTGTTTTGTTTAAACATACTTCTTGTAGGCCATCACGTTTCCTGAGGGAAGCGAGAGAAGGTAAAAGGCATCTTGAAAAATGCGTGGCACAGCCAAACCTGAACAGAATTTCCTGAGATAAAGAAAGGGTGCTTCTCTGAATTTTGAAAGCCTGCTGGAAACAGTTTAATTTGAGCTTCTCAGAGAAAAATCACAGGAATCCTCCCTGAAGGAAAATGTTAGACAATCAAATCATAGGAGAGCCTACCAGTTCATCTTATACATCACATCACTCTGCACTTTATCAGTTGCAAATTAACTCTCTGTTCCGCGAGACTTGATACAAAACTTCCACAAATAAACAAGCATAAAAGCTTGCCCTACTTTTCATTTCCATTCTATTTTACAGTTTCTCTCCTTACCCCTTTCTTCCACTCTGGGAAAGGAGGCAGGGAGTAAGCTACTACAAAATCCATCTAAAATGGCATCTTGTTTTGTAAACACTGTGAAGCATCACAAAGGGTGCTTGAAGAGGATTCTGATGCAGCATGATCACCCACTGCTGACTTCCATTTCCTTTGGTCAAGAATTGCCTACTGGGTCAATATTGCCTATATGCCTTAACTCACACCCAGGATCAAGAAATTTTGTCCAGAAGTCTTTCTCATTTGCATTTTGTTTCAAACCTTTATTACTCAGAAAGTTAATATTACTAAGCAGTACTAAATTTAGTGCTATTGAAAAGTAAAAGCAAAACATGAATCGGAATTATGGGAGCAGCTGAGTGGACTTTATCATACTGACAGATGCTGTGATCAGAAAAAAAGGTCTTTTCACTCTACAAAACATTTCAACAGACTGCTAAGAGTTCATCTGCCTGTCTTAGAAATCTGGAAAAATCAGATATAAAGGTTTCTAGTTGTGGGGTGGTAATGATGGAAAGGGAGATACTTCTTCCCTTGGTGAAGAGTACAAGTGGACTTGAGCAGGGCATTTCTCGGAGGACAAAAGATGCTGCACATCAAGAAAAAAGTGAGCAGCCACAGCAGAAAAGCAGAGATCCAGGCAGGACTGCTTTCTTCTGCAAAGTGGTAGTGCATTTTGTTCTCTGGCAGAGAAAGGAGTAAAGTTATGAATCTCAGAGGTTTGGAGTGGTGAATCCTTCAAAGCACAGCTTATGCACCTCCATGTGAGTGCAAAGGAAATAATTTATCCTGAATAAAGAGGTAGAAGAGAGAAAAAAAGTTCCTTGTCAGCCCATAACTGTCAAGCAATTATAGCAGGAAAAGAATTTCTAAGCTGAATTGTGGCAGATAATGCAGACTTTGAGGAGTGGAGGGGGAGTGGAAGAAAAGGAAGCTTCCACCAAACTGTGGGCTCCTCCACGTGCCAGGGGAATGAGGGGATTTCAGGGATTGGTAGCTGAAGCTGCCTGGGGAGGGGGCGTATGTAAGGTAAATTTTTCATACTCAGTGCTAACATAAGCTCATATTTTAGAGAACAATGAAAGTGCCCTTGTCATATATTTATTTGTCTTGCATTTCAAGCAAAGTATTTGATATTCTCCTGTTTAATCATTTTTTCTGCAGTCTGTGAGGCAGCCAAAACTAGTGATAGCACAAGTAAAACAGAAGGGTTCCTAAAGTAAAATTTATTTGTTTTTCATCCCCCATGAAATATAACTCTCCACATCCAAAAAATGAAAAACAGTAAGGGATCTGTTCTCCCCTTTCTGCACACGTGTAACTCCATTCAGCAGCAGCAAGATTAACACACACCCGTTAACTCATTGAATGCCTGCCTTCTGCACATTAAGAGCAGCCTAATTCTTAGGTAGATGGATGCATGTATGTCATCAGGAAGCTGCATTTTTAAGCTTTTTACACTTAATGTTACTGGTGTCTTTCCTTGATTTTTTTCAGAAATTCCCCTATATGGCTGTAGCAACTGTGTTTAATTTTCTGTAAAGTAGATGGAGCTACTGTTGTAGTAGGGGAAGAAAGAGGGAAGTTCAACCCAGGTGCAACTCCAAGCAGTGCTAAAGGAGGGCGGTAGAAATCATTGAGCCCATTTTAGTAAACCTGCCCCTTTTCAGAGGTCAAAACAAAACACAGTGGTGTTGTAAAACTAATTTAAATGCTTCTGAAGAGCTTTAGGTTCCATCAGGGAAACGTGCAGCAGAAGTTAAAACTATTATCATTATTGATTTGCACCCTGTGGTGATTTTGGACCACACACACTTAGAAATAGTAGAATATAAATACGAAATGAAGTCAGAATAAGAATGCAAATGCACTGCAAATTTATACAATAATTTGACTATACATTTTAATATTTAGGCCTTCTCTCATATTTGACCAGGAAAGAAAAGTGAATCTTAAAGTTGTATTAACTTCTTACTACAAAATTTTGCCTCTGAAAGCAGATAATTGTTTTTGGCCTGGCTCTGTGTGTTATTTTCCGTTTTCCTCAGCCTCCCACACGTTAATGACTTGTGCATGGAATTCTCTTACCCTATGAATATATTTTCTTTTTAAGCACAGACTCCACAGAGGTGGAAAATGTGAATGTGAAATGAAGCTTGCCATCCTCAAAGAACGTTAAAGATCTAGGAGCGTGTACAACTCTATCCTGAAAGTCAGTTTGTCAACATATAATTTACAGAGGTTCAGTTGCACAGGCATAATAATTCTGCATTTCTTTCAAGATGAATACTTTTATACCTTGAGGCATGTGATTTGTGAAGGCAGCTTTGTGGCCTGGTGGGCAATCAGAATTTGCCTTAGTGGACTGAAATGACCCAGAACAAACTCAGTACTTAATCTTCTTTATTGCTGAAATCAATAAGCAGATCCATGCTAAGTGCTGACAGCTCTTATGTAGGGAGTGACAAGTAGAAGCGTCTGCTCCTTGAACTTCTTATGTTTTATGGGCCAGAAGTTTTCTTTTGTTATTTGATGAAGAACTTGTTAATTTTGTTTTATAATGCATAACTCAATATGAGGTATTTTTGTTGTGCTAATTTGTACATGCAATGTCACAAGATTAATGTATCTCAAATGCCATCGTCCAGAAGGCCCAATACGGCAGTCAGTGAAAAATACTCACCTAGATAATCAAGCGGGGACAGTGGGCTCTGGCAGAGTCCGGCAGTCCAGGTGAGTGGCAGAGTTACGGCTGACCGCTCTGGCTCACAAGCTATTCTTCTGGAGAGCCCCATCCTAAGTAAGGGTTTCCTCCTTTACTTACATTAGTAGATCCCAAGAATATTCACCAAGGACTTGTAATTCCAACTTGTGCTGAAGAGAGTGAAACAATAGCAATAAATATGGGAGCCCCCAAATGGGCCAAAGCTACTCATAAGATAAGTGGTTTACAACTTTGGTAAATTCAGAATAACCCTCAAGTTCTGCTCTACCTCTTTGGGAAACAGCCAGAATTCTGCACTCCATGGGTATCTCTGGATGGGGAAGAAATACAAAATAACTTTGTGTGCAAAACAACCATAAGACATAATGCCATTTATACCCATGGAAATTAATATCTTATGACAGACATAGTGAAAAGAGACTTATTGTCAAATTTTGGCTCTGGAGCTACTTGCCTGTCCATGCACCCGTTTATACCATTTTTGTTTACTTGATATTGGAGAGTAATCAGAAAAAAAGTTACACTGAATTATGAGTGCTGTCAAGTTTTGTATGAAAAGTATTAAAACTTTAACCAAAACAGTCTTCTAAATTCCTGTCCTTCTGGTCCCACAGTCTTATCTTGCTTTTACACTTTTGTTTAAACTGTTCCTTCCCTTTCTGTTTTTTTTTATTTGGAGTTGATTCAATAACCCAGTCTTTTTTTATTTCTTGCAGATGTTAAAATGATGAAACCCTCTCTCCCTCTGGAGCAGAGCACAGCAGCCATGACATCTCCTCTGGTCCTCCGTGGAAGGTACGTTGCAGCCTGCTGCTGAACTGTTATGACATGTCTCTAGCAATCAGAAAGAAAAGCTGGGAAGAGCATGTGACCCAGTGGATGGGATTGGCTTTGGAGTCTGTGGAGTATAATACAGCATGTCGTCACGGACTTGTAGCTGATAACTTGCAGACAAGTATGGAAAAAGATGAGGTTTTGAGCGTGGACCGGAAAGAAAAATGCGCTTCGTTTCCAGAGTGCTGTTATAGTGGAGAGCGGATTGGCTTCCCTGCAAAGCAGCTGGGAAACATTTCAAAGGACGTGGATGAAAACGACAACCATGAGGATGAGGAGCATTTTCTGGAGGCCAGCACAGAAACTCTAGTCCATGTGTCTGATGAGAATGATGACTATTCATCACTCAACCTGGATAGTGTTAATTACCACATCACTGCTGTAGGGGGGGAACCAAAAGGTGACGAAAAGAGTTTAAATGGAGCAGGCTCTTTAACACAGATGGTACCAATAACAGAGGGTAACAAGGCAGCTGAAGCATCTGGAGTAATTGGAGATACAAGTAAGGAACCTGGCGGTGACACTGTTCCTAAAGAGGAGATGGAAGAAGACACCGTTTGTGGCAGCATTGGCCAAAGCCTGGAGCTTTGTAATTATGAAGGCTTAAATGAAGTAGTAGATGTAGAGAAAGAAAATCATTCTAATTCTCCAAATGTGAAAGAAATTATTAAGCCTGGGAAGCAGCTGCTTCATACTGCTGTAATTGCACAACAGCGCCGGAAATCTGATGCTTTTAAAGACGGGCTTGGAAAGTCTGAGTGTAATGTGGTAGAGAGTGGGATTTCTTCTGAATCATGCACCAGCAGTGATAGACAGCTATGCTCAGCAGTGGAATCCAGCGACTGCCTTATGCAATCTTCTCCCTGTTCTCACATCCCGGCAGTGGAAAATGGTCTGGATGAAAGTGGTTTCACAGAACCTCAAGTGGCCCCTGAAAACAAATGCCTTTCAAATGTCAGTTCAACAGAAGACATTCCGTGTTTACATGTAGGGAATCATTTGACCACACAAGAATATTCAGACAGTCAAGTGAAACTGCGCAAAAGAAAGGTAGGATGCTCATAAACTGCAGAGATTTTTTTCTAATGTTTTCCCCCAATTTCTTATGAAAGTGGTTCCGTGACTAATTGATTGGAGGATAAAATGTGTTTTTCAGCTTTGTTTCATTAATTTGTCAGATTTTTTTCTTCAAATGGTTTCGAAAAAATGTGTCTAGATAGCAACTGAGTTTCAGGAGCTCTTTTTAAGGTCTGAAAATGGCTGAGCAGTGAATTTGGAAGTTATCTCATATTTACTTTATATATATATGTTATTTTATATATGTCGTTCAAGGCTAAATGAATAAGTATCTTCTATGGGTTTCATTTTATTTTTGTTTTTCTGTTGCTATCAGGTATCATTATCTGTTTCTCTTAGGAAACAGATTGTGTCCAGGGGTTTGGAAGCCTTACTGAAAAAAAGAGAAAAGGCAAAAAGTGCAACAAAACTTTAAAAGGGAAAAAACGAGTGGAAACATTTTTCAGTAGTTCTTCGGTTTTCAGCTCAGCCCCATGAGCCTATGTTCTTGCAAAAAGAAGTATTGCTGAGTTTGGAACAATGTTTTGTAATTTCAAAGCAACCAGAGAAATTTCACTGTCTACACAGAGTGAGGAAGAGTATCATCACAAAATTTTAATGGACAGATTCCATGGCAATAAAACTCCCAGCAGCTTTAATGGAAGGAGATGTGCTGACTGTGGCACTGCAGAATTCAACTTAAAGTTTGGCTTTCCCAGCTAGGCTGCTTATTCTTGCTAGTAACCAATTTGTAATTGTTTATTTCTCCTGCCTTTTTTCACTTGACATCATCCACCTTCTTTTGTCTGTTTTTTTTTTATAAATCTGGTTTCTATTAATTGTGTGCGGCTTTTTTCTATCAGCTGTAGTGCCTCAGTAGCTGTTCCATTAAAGCTCAAATTCATGTATCTAAAGTACTGTATGCCAACACAGCACCCTGAGCTGCTGGCCACTGCTTCCTTGTATAGACCCTTTGGTAATATTAACACTCAATTGATATGGTTATAAGCTGTAAGTAACATTTGCGAAAGGTTTCAGAAGCCCTCAAAACCAGTCTTCCTTTGGTAGTTCATGCAATCACAGTTAAAGTGGTAACTGTTCAACTGATCTTGCAGTAAGCATGGCTCTGAGTTACAATTAAGAAGTAGAAATCTGACTAGCAGTACTAGAAATGCTAAACTTACTGATCTGTAGAAAACAGTTCAAGTTTAAAAAAAAATAGTAAAAAAAAAAAAAAGCTGAATTAATATCATATTTGAGAACTAATTAGCTACTATAACCGTATTCTCAGCTCCTCTATTTTAGCATCTCATTTCCTTTTTTCTAAGCATAGTTGCTAATTTTGGTGAATATTTTTTCATATTGTTAGCAAGATGTACCGTGTTATATTTTTTAATAGCTTCGATCCTGCTAGTTTCCATGTATCTCGTTCTATCTTGTTTTGAGGTGACATACTCATCTTTTAAATGTACATTCACGAGACTTATATTTGAGAATATATTTGTGATTTGTGTTTGTGCCATTAAATATTTAGAAAGACATAATATAAAAATTCCAGTGAGGCTAATGGTAAGAAAAACTAAGAAAGGACGTGAACACAGAAAGGAGCAAAACAAGGAGTTGCTTCAAAGAAGGTTGAGAGTTGCATGTCTGCAGCAACTGTGAAGGTTTGAGCATTGTAAAAGGGGATGGAGTCTGTAAATCTGAAGGAGTGGCCTTGTACCACTTTGCTTAAAGAAGTCTTTACCAAAAACTGTAAAATATTTGGCAAAAGCAAAAAGATTTGATCTGTTGTTGCTTGTGGTATTATTTATCTCTAAGTTTGCAGGGTACTTCTACAAATAGTGTTCCTGCGTGCAGGATTTTATCACATACCTAATCATGCACTATTTTACAAAAGCCCGTCTGTGTTGGTAATAATCTGTAATGAAAAATGTGCCTATGTTTACAAACTTGCCCTGAAAGCCACTTCTGTAATTTTAACAAAACATTAGAAAAACAACAGACTTGAAACTGAATCCATCCATAAAAGCCAAGTATTTGCTTTGCAGTGACAGGAAGACTTAAGGGATTGGGAATGGTATATAAAACCTTTTCTCTCAAGGTCAGCAGTTCAAACAGTGCAGTTAAGGCCTAAAACACACCACTGTCTGATTAATGCTCAGCGTCAATTATAGTTGCACATAAATATGTGCTCATAAAGGTCAGAATATGGGAAAAGGCACACAGAGATGAATTGCTAAAGGTATTTGGGCACCCAAACCTTGATGTGGCACCTTGGGGGATCACAGAAAGGTGCTGAACTTCAGATACTTCCATGACATCTAAGATCTTAGTACCTTTGAGTAGACATCACTCTGCTCTTGTTGGTACTAAATTCTTCTGAAAACCTGTTCCTCGTTAACATATTTTAAACTGCTTTTAATTGTGGCAATAGAGCATGACCTCCCCTCTTATCTTTAGATCTACTGTCTTCAAACCGAAGCTGAGGTGAGACTGTGGATCTGTTGTGCTTGCTCTGCAGATGAATGCAGGTTTGAGGGCTTAAGGGCTTAGAGTTTAGCATCTTGGACCAGCACTAGCTCCATTTTGGCAAATTGCTTTGGTCATGATGGATGTACTGACACTGAAGATGCTTTTTGCAAACAGGTCCAGCTGTTACAGCATTCTTTGTTCCCTCGAGTCACTCGGGTTCAGATGGTTGATACACAGCAGCCTCTTTTCCTTTGCTTTCCAAGGAAGACTTCCTAAGGCTCGGAAATCGGAAGCGCCTGAATTTAATTGTGAGAAGCTAATGATGTTAGGTCTAATTGAAAGATCTCCCAGTAATCAAGCTTTCCTGGTTCTGTGTTGACTGAAAATCAATTCAGTTTATCCACAACATGAAATTGATGGTTATTAATGGTTCAGAGTAGCAGAAGCGTACATGGATTAACTACATGTGGTTATGCCAACTAGACCCTCCTGTATGCTTTCCTGGGTTAAATAAATTTTGGATTTTAAAATAGTCACTTCACTTGAGAACTGTACATTCTGAATTTCCAAAGATTGGAATAATCTTTGGAACTCATGAGCAAGCTGTAATGCTTGGGACATCCCAACAGCTCGCATGTATGTTCACATGTGTAATGCAATAGAGCTTTTGGAGAACAGTATCATACAAAAGCAGAAGAGTATCGATTATTAAGAGAATACCAACAAAAGGAGAATATTTAATTATTATACACTGATTTTAAAGTGGGGAAAAACCAGCCATTATCTTGTAAAGGATCTTGCCAATTTTTTCATGTGCCCTGTCTTATGCTTTCTCCAAGCTGCTCGTCTCATCAAGCTTAGGGATAGCCAGAAAAATCCTTGCTGAGGGATATTACATAGGTGCACAAATGCACTGGAACTCTAACACATTAATTTAAATTCTTTTTCAACATGAAAAAAGTACTTCGTTCAACATCAGCATAAAAAGGTGGGTTGAGGCATATAGTTTCACAACTACTTCTCACCACTCGTTTCCCAAACACAATCACAGCTGTGGTGTCACAATATATATTAATCAGTACTTTGTAAATGCAATTTGTAAAACAAGGCTAAGACAGCTCTTTTACATGATGAATCAGTAAAGGAGTAGAAAATGATCATTGTGGAGCCTAACTCCCAATAGTTTGATTAAAAATCCAGGAAATTTAAAACAAAAATGAAAGGGCAATGAACTCCCCTTACAAAAGAAATTTTCATTGTTCTCACTCCAACCTTAGATTTTACGGCTAGAGATTGTTCCCTATAAATGGGAAGAAAACAGTAGAGAACCAACTGCGATTGTTCATTTCTCTCTCCTGTAGGATAATGTTATATCACCTATTATTTTTAATAAAATGCAAAGTGACTCATGACTGTGGGGAAAAAAAGAAATGGCAAAAACACCATATACAACAGCAAGTAGCATTGGGCTCAATTCATGGGGGATTGTAATATCCCTGCAGTTAAGGAAAGCAGGAGATGGAGTATTGAAAAGCATTCTGCGTGCAAAAAGATAGAATTACTATTAATATGCTTTTTAATAAGGCTCAGGGAGTTGTAGTTAATATTTAAAAACAAAATTCAATCCTCAAACTAGCTTAGCAAGATAGTACCAGAAGATTGAGGGGAAAGAAAATCTGTGAAAAGATACAGATTTTTCACTGAATATACACAAACATATAAGAAGTATATTCTGATTTCATCCAGGAATGCAGGAAACATTCCTCACATATATTTGGGCTGCTTTGATACAATGTAGTTTAATATCTGAACGTCACAAGAAAATGAATTGAATTAACATACACAAATGAACAATTACATGTCAAAATTGTTAGTTACCTGTTCAGTTGTTTTCTTAGTTTGGATAAGGTATATAAATTTGCATGCCTTTACACTTGCAGTTAAACATGGTTTACTGAAAACCTGTCATTCATTGGAGTAATGAAATAGTTTTCCATCTTTTATGTTTTATATTCCAGATTGTAACGATATAAGAAAACAAAAATTTGCTACTCTGAAAGCAGCCTTTTTCTCAGGCATCTTAAAGCAATGTTCCTTTGCAATGCTTAATATTGTTGTTGTTTTCATTAACCTGTGGAAGAAACAGGTTCTAGAACTGCTCAGGCACTGGAGAGATGCTATTGTCACAGTAATTTTCTGAGAAGTCGATAGAAAGAACTTGGCGTAAATCTTCCAAAAATTAACTCTCTTGGACTCAGAAATCAAGTTCAAAATAGTTCAGACAAACTTTAGATCAGCATTTGAAGTTCCAGTTGCTTATCTAAATTAAGTATTAACTCTGAAACTTTTGGGGTTCTTTTCTAATGTGAAACTTCTGGTTTGCTACGAAGAATTTTGATTAAAATTATTAATAAATTCTATAAGATTAGAGTTTATAAACTACTGGCAAATTCACTGCACACAATGCAATGAAATAAGATATAGATACACAATGATTGGTTTCAGGAAACGCAACTGAT